GGGTGCAATGAAAAAATTGTCTCCATTTTATATTTTAATTCCGCGCATGCGTGTTTGTTTTTGGTTTAACAGCTTTTTAATTTTAACGAATGTAACACCAAAATTGTTCAAATCATGTAACAACATGTGATAATTGTCCATCCCACAAAATGTTTAAGACACTAAACTAATTGAGTTTCTTTTTTCCAGGACTTCAGCTAAGATGTTTAGCTATCTCGAAATTAACTGTCGTAAGACTCACTGAAATCTCCTTTGAGTTATTGAGCTAGAAAGAGAACAGGTTAAAAATGTTTTGTGTCAGCCCACTGTCTTCTCCAAATGAGCAATGGTGAGAGGAAAAAAGATCATTCAGGCCTTCAGTAATGGTACCAACATTCCTATACTGGCTTCCATCTTCCATGCCTATTCAAGAACCATCAAGAGAACGGTAAATGAGTAAAAGAGGGAACAGTAGAGAGGAAAACTGCATCAGGCGGTCACAACAGGAAGAGGGATCATCATTTCCACTTAGAACTAAAGAGATCAATTAGAAAAGATCCAACTCAATCCATAAGACGTTTGGCACGTGAGAGAGGAGTTTCAGCTATGATAGTCCAAAGAGCAGTGGAAAAGACTTGAAAATGAAATCGTATCTGAAACCTGTGAGGCAACTTGTTACTCCAGGACAGAAAAGTTATTATAGAGAGGGCGAAGATCATCTTGAATAAGTTGGAAAATGATCCTGGAATAATATATATATATATATATATATATATATATATATATATATATATATATATATTGATATTTATTTCCTTCATGAGCTTCCGATCCTTAGATAATGATTAATTAATGATGAACATGTCATTTTCGTTTATGATCGATTTCATCACGATTCTTCTGTTAAGCTTGAGAGTAATTATACATTCTTATTGAAAAAGTAGAGTCCAATAGTGTTATAAAACCTCGAAGAATTCCAGTAAAATATCTTTAATCATTTCTAAAATATAACGGTTCAAACTTAATCTAAAATTGGAAAATTTTGCCCAATACATTTTTATATAATTTATATATTATATATATATATATATATATATATATATATATATATATATATATAAATATGTATATATGTGTGTGTGTGTGTGTATGTGTGTGTGTGTGTTAAAAAAATTTGAAATATTTATTACCAACAGATAGTATATTCATCAAAAATAGAATAATCGCAGTTTTAGTTAACAAGTTAATTTTATTATTTTAAATTTGGGAAAATCATGAACGACAAATTTTGAAATTTGAAATTAACATTTTTGAATAATTCAAACATCATACCATTTACGGGCCTTCATATTTTTAAGAAGAAACTGATTTAGACTCGAAATAGTTGATTATTTATTTTGTTCCGTAGTGATTATCCAATATAATGCGAATATATTGGGAAGTACCCCCAGAGCCAATCTTTTTTTTCACCTTTAGCTGCTATAATGAATCGATGTTTGTATGGGAAAATAAGAAATTATACAATTTGTAAATTTTATTCATTGCTTTTCTCTAGAAAATCCTTATTACTGGTTCCCAAATTCTATTCATTTCTATGCTTGGTCGACTTTAGAAGATTTTTTGGGTCAAAACATATGATTATTCGAATCCTTAAATTTTTTTTTATTTTCCAGTGATGCTGAAAAAAATATTATAAAACTCATCCCAAAAGTTAAAAAAATACTTTTCCCGCCATATATGTTACACAGCTATTCGCCTAAATTTTCTTCCAAAAAAACAAAATGTTTAATGTGTTTGTTTAATATATACATATTTATAAAATTATTTTTTTTCCTATCATATTTAAACTGAATTTTAAAAGCTTTTGAACTTTATGGTAATTCTGAAATATTAAAAATAAAATATGTGCGATAAGAATGAAATTGGGCTCTTCACAAGGTTTTCTATTTTTATATATATTTTCATATTTCTAGGAGCTGATATGAAATGGAAAGACTTTATTGAATCCATTCAGCTTTATAAGAAATTATTCTGTTCGTTAAAAATCGAGGGAAACAATTTTTCCTTTAGAATCTATCTATCTTATTATCTATTTTATTTACCATTCGTCCATGTTATATGTATTTTTAATGCCATATTTTCATTGGTCCCTTGCAACTTTTATTTTTAGAGGTTTTTTCTTAAAATTTGATCCAAAAATATAAAAAAAATATATATATTATTGGTCCTGATCTTTAAAATCAAAAATAAATCAAAATTTATAAATATAGGTTAACTTTTTATTGTAGCCTTTTTATATTGTACTTCCATAAGTAATTGTTCGAATGAGTTCTTCGCTATGGTACATAATAATATTTTTTTTTAATTTTTACAAAAAAGCATATAATAGCGTCGATATTAAAAAAATTCTTTACAGTTTATTTAAAAAGATAAATTTATAAGTTCTATATAATTTTTTTTCCAATTTTCAAATTCCTTTTTTAAATGGAACAACCTTTCCTAATCCATAATTTCCAGAAAATTATTCTGTAGAAAATTTTAAACAACAATGTCAATCGCTTTAATTACTATTATATTATGATTCTTTTTCTTTCTTTTTTCCATTAAGAAGGTAAAAAAAAATTATTATTAATAATAAGGTTTATATAAATATTTATAATGATAGAAAATTTAATTGATAAAAAAAAAAAGAATAAAATTTGAGAAAAAAAATTTTCTTTTTTTTTTTCATCTTTTTTTCATGTCCATTGACATTGCATTTATATATTTAAGATTATAAATAATCAATAGCAAGTAATTTAGAGAGTTCCAAACAAATTGGTTAGACATGAATTAAAAAAAATATTTGAAGAAAAATCTATTTTAACCGTTTCTGATGTGAAAGGGTTACTGAGATTTATATCTAGTAAATTTTTCATTCATGCAGTTTGGGAACCAGCGAAAGTAGCTCGTCGGTTACCGTGAAAAATAAAGTGTAGAAAAGACAGAGAAATTAATTTTCGGCCATGTCTTTTAAAATTGACTGTATTTTATATATAAAAACCGAAAACCATTCATATATGTTTTATATCCGTCTCTGAATTTTTTCAAGGACCTTGAGAATGAACATTCATTATTTTTCTCATATTGACAGAAATATTCTATAAGGACGAATGGTTGATTTATTAGATTTTAAATGAATGGATTCAGGCGAGAAAAAAAAATTTGGTATCAAGACAGAGAACCAACTTTCATTTCATATTTGATGAGGTTATTGATTCAAATGTTCATTTGTTCCAATAATTTTCATTATACAGTGTGATTAAAACCAAACAGGAGCAGAGATATTTAATCGAATTTGTTGAGCATCAGACATTCTAATTGATGAAAATTTTTAAGTTTTTTTGTGGTAAAGACCAACGTCCAAGACAATTATTTAGATACAGGAATTTTTCCAATTTTCAAATATATAATTCCTAATTCTTCTACATTCTGTAACCGTTTTTTTTTTAGTGACACTACTGAATTTTTGTTAAAATATTTGGAAAAAGGATTTCAAAAAAAAAAATAAATATGCTAATAAATATTTTATTTTTTTAAAAAAAAAGGTTTATAAAATTATTATATGAATATAATTTAATCGAAATTTCAATTAAAATAAAGCCAAAACGTTGAGGGATTTCGATATCATAAATTAAATATATTTTGTGATTATAATTTTTGTTTCTTTTCATTAAATTACATTTTTTTTTCCCAATTTAAAGGTCTGAGGAGGCACGGTGGAATAATGGATAGCGGCTTGGATTGAAATTTCGGAGAGCCGAGTTCGAATTCCAGTCGAATCCATTACATTCACTTACGTGCTAACACCCTTGGGAAAGGTGTGAATCCTTTTTTCTCCCTCCAGCTATGGGTAAATAGCAGGACAGACTGGGTTCTATAGCCCTGGATGGCAACTGGTCTAGAAGGAAAACTCTGAAATTCAAACCTGCTCTTAGAGGAGGGTGAATTTTTGTCTCTCTGAGCCTTGGTTGGCAATCCATTTAGTGTTGGTGTCACGATAAAAAAAACCCTTTGATAGCCCTAGCGAAGCATCAAGAATTCAGCTATTTGACAAGATTATGAACTACACCAATCAAAGTATTGGTGAGTTCAATCTTAAATGATCCCGATGAACAAGAGATAAATCAATCAAATTATCTTTTATACAGATAAAGAAAAATAAGTGGGGTCTGGATAGCAATCCTAGCTACTCAATCGTCTGCAGTGCCGGATCCGATTTCCAAAATAAATTTAAAAAAAAAATTAACTAAAAAATCAATTCCAATTGATAAAAAATATTAAAAAATTCTTCTTCCCAAAGTTGGGTGATACTTTTTGCAGTTCATTGTAAAACACAATTGCTTCAGACACATTAAAACTTCACACCATTTTTTGATTAAAACCAATAACTTTCTATTAAAAAATCAGATATTATAATCTAAAATTCACATTTAATAAAATTTAAAATTGAATAAGTGACTCCCATCTAATCTATTCCATGAATAGAATAAAAACGAGGTAATGAACGATAATATTTTATATAATAACAACAAAATATAAGATTCATAGAATATGCGTAGAATAGTAGTCAATCTTAGAAGTATTTTTTGAAATGAACAAAAAATCTACAACTGCAGACCGCCAAACAACAAACACGATATATTAATACTGTGTTTATAGAAATACTAACAGACCCATTATCGTCCGTAGGTATAGATTTTTCAACAATTTCTTAGATAGATAAGAATAGACTTATTTCTTATATATATATTTTATAGATAGATAGATAGATGCACAGTTCTTATTTTTGAAGATAGATAGTAATAGACTGAGATAGATAGATAGATTTTTAGATAGATAGATATATAGATAGATAGATAGATAGATATTTTTTAGAGATAGATTTTTAAGATTTATGGATAAGATTTAGATAGATATTAACAGACTGGGATAGATGATTTTAGATAAATAGATAGATATATAGATTTCTAGTAATTTACTGAGATAGATAGATAGATAGATAGATAGATAGATAGATAGATAGATTTCTTTCACTGAGATAGATAGATAGATAGAAGAAACGACTGAGATAGATAGATTTCTAGATAGATTAACAGATTATGATAACTTAGATAGATAGATAGATAGATAGATTTTAGATAGATAGATAGATAGTAACATATAGATAGATAGATAGTAACAGACATACATAGATAGATAGATAGATAGATAGATAGTAATTATATATATATAGATAGATAGATAGATAGATAGATAGATAGATCTTGTTTATCGTAAAAAGACTCATACCAATTCAGAATCTGAAGGCTAAAATCGCTTTAAAGGCTGTGAACATTGGGTATCGAACTCTGCAATCTCGTGTTCGACGCTGTGCCCACACGATTGCAATAGTGCATTGATAAAGAAGGAGGGGCACTTGATAGATGTGAACCCACCGAGGAAGATAGACAAAAAACTGGCTCAACTAAAAAAGAAACATGTTGCCCATATGTCGACATCTCTCTCAGACTGATATAGAATTGCCTTCTGTAAATCTCTACATAAACTAAATCACAAGACTTGTGCGTGTGTATGTGTGTTTGTGTGTGTGTGTGTGTGCGCGCGCGTTCGTGCGTTCGTGCAAGTAGCATGAACCATTGGCACGTCAGATAACTTAATCGGTTTAATGTTTGCATCGGATCCCCTATCAGTATTGGTTCGTTATCAACAAATAAACAAGGCGTTGCTCAAGCAGAATAACTTGAAGACATATTGGCGACTAGTCAGTCTCATTAAACAACAATTCTTGACAGGCAAATAAAATGCCCGGACTGAATCATTAGTAAATCAAATGTTCTTTTGATATGAATCCTCAAAAAATAGGAAGACTTTTTTCAGAAACGGTATACTGAGTAAGCTAAAGAATTTTCTTTCCTAAGATAGGATCAGACTGAGATAGATAGATAGATAGATAGATAGATAAAGAACAGTGTTATGGAGTGGTTTCACAGTGGAGGCTTGTATTTGTACTAAGTCGGTCCTAAAATAGGTTCGACGTGCAAAACGTTAAGAACTTGATATAATAGGTAATGACGCAGAGAAATCTAGTTGTGGTCGCTGATACTTTAGTATCCGACTAACGGTCGTCCGGCATCGACTGACTGACCTACTGAGCGACCGACTTTACTCTTACTACTCCTACTTATTATAGGTGGGAGAGTCTATTAACTATAGAATAGGTGTGTTCCCCTAATAACAAACAGAAATGATAGATAGATAGATAGATAGATAGATTTATAGATAGAATAATAGATTTTGCTTTTAGATTTATAATAATAAATAGATAGATAGATAAAGACAGACTAGATAGATAGATTTTTAGATAGATGATAGATAGATTTTTTAGATTTATAGATAAATAATTTTTTAATTTCAAAACCTCACCATTCTTTTTTAAATTTGAAAAATGGACAAAAATATTTTTTAAATATTATTTATTCTATATCCTCAATGATAGAAGACATTTTTAAAAATAGCATGTGGACAACTGTCGCAATGCAATCGAAAGCGATCTTTATAAGTTATTTAAAACTAAACTCTCCTAATGCTGCCTAACTATAACAGAAGAATTCATTTGTTTTTGTTTTGTTTTTTTGTTTTTTTTCGTTTTGTTTTTTATATATTTAAACCTATTACATTGCGAATATTTTCGGAAATATAGTCGTAGTAGTCGGCATTTTACCCAAATTCGAACATTTTTTGTCATTTTGTTTTATCCTTATTCCCTTCCTCCCATCTGATGGCGGTAACGGTGATGGCTTTGAAGTCTCTGCCTCCTCCTGAAGAGTTGTCAAAGAGAGTTTAGCCATTTTATTGAAGAAATACTTGCGATACTTCGAAAGTAATGCATCCTAATTATTTTCGCAAATACTGCAACAGTCACTGAGAGTTCAATAATGCCGATGAAGAGAGCAGGTTTTCATCTACGATACATGACTTTTCCACGTAGCCTCCACCATTGGCTGCGCATTTTCTCTCCAATAATAATATCTCCTTTTCATTCCACTGGAACTATGACATATACGGCGATCGCAATAACGCCAATTGATAGCGCAAGTATTCAACTACAATACACGACATTTCCACATATATATTGAAAATCGGCTATTTTTATAATCTCGCCATCGGTGAACAAAAATCGGCAAGTCAGCGATAACTACGTCGTTGTCAGGTAAATTTTGTCCACAGAGCCCATTTTTTCAATGGCCCGAACAGATGAATGTCTGAAGGCGCTAAATCTTTTACTCTGCGATGGGTGTGATTGAGAATGTACTTTTTCTTTTTTTTTTTACAGTATAGTGGAATTCAATTATATAACCTGTTCATAAACACTTTCATGTCAGAAGCCATTTTTCTAAACTGCCATTCATTTTCTATGTATGAAAAGACATTGCGGGAATGTTCAGCCTCTAATATCACGCCACCGAAATCCGATTTGACGCCCTTGGTTCCTTTCGGAGTGACCCCTGTATATTATAACTAGGTACCTCAAAGATCCGATAAAATGAGCATACCATGATGAAAAAATACTCCAAAGTTAACAAAATAAAGTTTTATTGTCAAAATCTTTATGTTATTATTAAGAAGAAAGACGAAATGATTTTTTGAATCTTCAAAATTTGGGTTAATTTTTGATTGCGTAAGCCAGTGACAATAAATTGATATAGGAAATTTAGCGTGTTTTTCCACATTGATGTGGAAAAATTTGAAAAATCAAATCATTGTCAATTTTGTAATTTTAATCAAACTTTCAGAACTTCAGAAATGAATTAAATTTTTAAGAAATGTCTCGATTTAGAAAATCTTGTTAAAATATATATATATATATATATATATATATATATTACATCTGTTTTTTAATTTTATGAAATTTCGAGAAATTCATTTTGTAGGACTTAAAAAAGTATATTAGTCATAAGCAGAAGTCTTTGGAGTATTTAAATAATCAATTCATTTTATGTAAAACACGATGCCCAGTTACCGTAATCCTGCTCGTAATTGTAAAATAAAAATTGTAATAAAACTAAGACATTATTTAATTAGAAAAAAAAATTGCTTTTATATGAATAAAATATATTAAAATAGGAAACTTTTCAATGAGCGATAACTATAGTAAATTTAAAGCCAAAAGTACCTAAAATTCAATAAAACGTTAGATTTTTTTAGAATATTTTTCTTATTTTTTTTTAAATATTAATGAGTTAAATTAAATATATATATATATATATATATATATATATATATATATATATATATATATATATATATATATATATATAAAAAATGCGTTCATGTTATATTTACAGATATGTCCCGTAGAAAAATTCCCAAACATATATATATATCGATAGTTATCAACACTTCATAAAAACACCCACCTCTGTGTTAAAAATCTTTTTTTTGCGTTATTTTAAACTAAAATTAATTAATAGTTGTTTCAAATCAGATTAATTAAAGTTTAATTCAGCTAATAAATATTCATCAAATAAAGTTTCAGAAAAGTATTATTTTTTTTTTATTTTTGAAAGCTTTTTAATAAAGAGAATTACTCCTGTGCCGAGAGAATTGTAAATATGGTTCAATTTAGCGCATTCAACAAAACAAAAACTCATTCATCTCAATTTAAATTCGTTTTGATAAACAGCAAATTATTTTACTCATCGGAAAAATTAAATTTAACCTATTAGCTTGAAATTGAAACTAAAATATAAGCTCCAAGAAATAATGTTCATTATTAAAAATTTTAAACCTTAGGCATCGCTTTTGTTTGGAGGTATGTAGTTATAACGGATTTTTATAAGGGAAATATCTTGGATGTCGGGATGAAAAGGAACTGTCAGTAGACAATAATTAATATATGTTTTACTGATAGAAATTGGTCGTTTATCCGTATAAAATATAATTGTTCGTTTATCCGTATAAAATAAATGAATTGCTCGAGATTATAGCATAGAAATGCCTTCAAATCGGGAAAGAACGGAGTGCCATTGGTTAGGTTTTGATAGAATCATTCCCGATGGAATAGGTCTATTCTAGTTATAACAAATATTTAGCTCTTTTTTTTTCTTACAATAGAAATGAATTGACAATCAAAGAAAATGTGTGTCTGCTTAGGAATACCAGTAAGTGTTACTGAAAATATGAATAAATTACAATATATAACTAAATTAATTTTGAATTAAATTTGTCATCAACGACGTTTCCATGAATATACATGCTTTAGAAAGTGTTTTTTTTTTAATGATATATTATCGGGTTTTTTTCGAGAATACAGTAAAATTTTGCTACAAACACTTTTATTTCTTCGTTTTTATCGACAATGTTTTAATCGGAAATTGATTTTCAAAAAAGAAAATGCATCGAAAATGATATTCCGATGTTTTAACTTTAAAAAGAAAATTTATTCTTTACTTTTATTTTATATATTTTTTGAAAAATTATTTTGTCCTGGAATCTCACTACATAACTTTTCACAAAGGTTCTTAAATTCACGATCCTACAGTTTCTGAAATACCAGAAAAAGGTTAACAAGTGCCAAGAATGGGTTGGACTTAAGAAAAAAAAAAAAGGTGGTTAAATAACAATCTAAGAAACTTGTATGTTTATATAATAAAACACGTTCGTCAATTTAAAAAAATGCAGTGTGTACGTACGTGTGTATGTGTCTGTGTGTGTACGTATGTCTCGTGTTTATATATATATATATATATATATATATATATATATATAATGTGTACAAAAACATTTGAAAAAGATATGTTCTACGTGACCTTTTGAAACAAATTCTTTTTCACAAGAATATCTACAGGATTTTTTGTTGTTTAATCATTAACACGACATTGTTGGTTATATTTTTCTAATAATTTGTATAGATTTTTAGATAGATAGATAGATAGATAGATAGATAGATAGATAGATAGATAGATAGATTCGTTTGGTTTATTTTGTCAAATATTTGAGTGAAATGGATTGCCGGTATTTTTTCAAAAAATGTATTGCTGGTATATTTTTTTTAATGTATTGTTGGTCATTTTTTTTTCAAAAATATTTTGCTTCTAATAATTAAACAAAAAAAACTGTATTGCTGGTAAAATTTATTCAAAAATGTATTCCTGGTGATAATTTTTATATGTATTGTTGGTAATATTTTTTTTTCAAAAATGTATAGCTGGTATTTTTACTATAAAAACCTATTATTTTATACTTTGATAGTGTTTTGAACCTAGGTTGGGGGTTAACTATTTGCCCATAACTTGGACCATAACATGTGCTACCAATCCAGGTCAAGGTGGACCTGTGAAGAACAGCAATTAAAAGGTGATTCAACGCTCCTCAAAACCTCCTATCTACCGATTGCCTTGCTGCCAGATGTAGTTTATCTTCATACCATCGATAGATAGATAGATAGATAGATAGATAGATATAATGGAGTAGATAGAAAAGAACAAACAAATTGATATATATATATATATATATATATATATATATATATATATATGAAGAAATATAGTCTTAAGGTGTGCTATATTTTATTGGATAAAGTTAGAATATCAAAGATAGAACATGTAATAGATAGATAGATAGATAGATAGATAGATAGATAGATAGATAGATAGATAGATATAGATAGAGTGACATAATGGAGTATAGATAGAGATAAATGAAAAAATTGATATATATATATATATATATATATATATATATATATATATATATATAAAGAAATATAGTCTTAAGGTGTGCTATATTTATGGGATAAAGTGCTCAATATCAGAGATAGATTATGTGTAAATATAAAAAATTGAACAACAAGTCAACACTTAGAGGCGTGAACACACGTGGCCTGACGATTGCGTCTAGTATGAAACAGCCGGTCACCTCTAATGTTGACTTAAATAATGTTCACTATATATATATATATATATATATATATATATATATATATATATATATATATATATATATAGTCAGTTGTATGGATATGAGTTTGTAACCCTGGGTTTCACTCTATTGCGATCATCAGACAAACTGGTTTATTTTTTTAAAATTGAATCTATTTATGCTTGTTTGTGTTTGATTATGTTTGGTGGTAGGAGGAGGAAATTCTCCATTGTGCCCGTTTTGGGATGACACTCTCGTACACACAGACACACATACGTACAGGTGTACGTATTTTAGTTCACACAAACACACCCATATAAACAAACCGAGATTAAGCACAGATACATATCCATGAATTCGAGCATACATACATACGCAATTGTAATTCTATTTCGGTGTCAAGACTGTATGTAGCGATGTTCTTTCAACAAGGGGCAGGTGGGGGTGTTCTTGACTCTTTTCAGATCGGCCGCCTGCGTCGCCAGACAAACTTACACTTCTTCACACATAAATACACACATGTAGACGTGCACATACACTCCTATTGGTTTGGGCCTTTCAATACCACTTTAGTTAAGTGGGTTCTGTTTGTGGACATGGTGATGATGATCTTTTGTATTTTCAACGCTGACTCCTTTTTTATTATTGACGATTGCGATTATGTTGATAGTGATAATAATTGATATTATAATTGGTAAGTTAATAATAGTTATCGATGTGTTAACAATAAATTTAGCCCTAATGATGATGGAAACAAAAGTATAATGGTAAAAATTACAATAATGACAACGGAAATTATGATAATAGTTGTGGTAACCATGATAATGATGATAGAAATAGTAATAACAATAATAATAAAAACAATGCCAACTGTAAAAAGCAGTACTAATGGTGTTAGAGAAGGTTATGAAGTGATTGTTTCTAAAGTGTTAACACCAGTAGTGATAGTGAAAATAATAGTAGTGGTTATTTTCGGTAGGTGTTAATAGCGAAAGTAGTAGTAGCCGTTATAAAATTATATTGAAGTGTTAATGGTTTTATCCTCTCTGATGGCTGCACCAACTGTCGTGGGGGTAGCCGTGTCCGCAGGGGTGATGGTAGTGTAGATAATAGTGCTGGTAGTTCTATTCATCTGTGTTAATTGCTATAGTGGTGGTTGTGTTTGTGGATGTGGTGATAGTGTTGGTAATAGGATAAGTAGTGTTAATCATAGGTGTTGGTGGTTATGTTTTGTTGGTTTCGATGTTCTTGCGTTGTAGTATTCTACCGCTTTTGTTTGTTTATTTTTTTTGTTTTGTTTTTTTTTTTTTTTTTCGTAGTTTCATTCCTGGTTGTGATTAGATTTGTTACAGTATCACCGTTTGATATGAACTGTGATATCAAATATTTATTTTCATGTCTGCATTTTGAAATTATTTCCGATATTTGGTTTGATAATTCCTTTTATTGTGTGTGGTAGATCATTACCAGTTTTTCGTGTAGACAAAGTAAACATCTCTTTGATATGCTATTGTAGGCTTGTGCGGTTTTCATGAATTCCCAGCGGATTTTTTGTATGATGTTTCTATCTTTTAGTTGCCATATGTATGTAGATAGTGTAGTGCTGTTGAAGTATTTTCTGTTGGAGAATGAGAGACCGTGAGTGTATTTTCTTTGCTTGAATGTTTCTTCTGTGGCGTCAATGTAGCACATTGTAGTGATGTTTGCATTTTATCTTGGCTTTGTATAATATATATAAAAAGGAAAAAGTATATATATATGGATAAATTTTCATCCAATGGAAAATAACATTAACATCTCATTTTAACAGATATATTTACCAAAATTACGCAAAAATATCTTAAAATAGAAAAGAGTAAATTTATTCAATAAAATTGTCATTGACTTCAACTTCGGAATCTCCTGCAACTCTTCTGGACGGTCACCTTGTTTAAGTTGGGGAATGCTGCTATAATCCTTACCTTCATTTCATCTTTGGTGTTACAAGGAGGTTTGTTTGTCTCTCATTCAACTGTAACCCAGCACATAATAATCAAGTGCATTGCAGTCCTGGGAGTAAGGTAGCCAGATGTAAGAGGCGATGCGGTCGCAGAAATTTTATGACGACCATGACTGAATTCCCCTGCTTGTTTGGTATGGTGCAGAGTCCTGTTGCCAAACATAGGGTATTCCAGCAGACACCCTCTTGACCCAGGGCAGCGCTACCTCCTCGAGACACTTGATGTAGGCCTTCGTGTTGAGTCTGAGGCCATTTAGGAACACCTTCGTTATCGCCATTAGACTTATCCGACTCCTTCCGAATCCCCTCCACCGTCCTTAAATTGATACCCAAACACTCTGAAATGGCCGTATTGGAACTTCTTGTGTAAATGCTTAATAGTACAGCATGCCGTTTGTAAATTTCTAGCGGAGTGAATTCCGTCATAGTGCTCTTTTTCTCACAGACGGTGCCCAACTGACCCTACTATACTGTGCAGTCGAAAAAATCAAAAATGAACAAAACACGCATGCGCGAAATTAAAATATATAATGGTGAAAATTTTTCCATTGCACCTATATATGTGAGTGCGTGTAATAATTCAGATATTACAAGAAAAATTACACACACACACACACACACACACATATATATATATATATATATATATATATATATATATATATATATATATATATAAGTAAACTTGAACGAGAAAAAAAGGAATGTTTCATAATGAATTTGAATTTGAATTATGAAAATGGCAAAGAGTACCAAGTATATTTATTACATAACTGATATACAAGAGCTGAATTATCTAAAATGTTAGCTTTAGGGTTAGGGTTAATTTCTATGAAATGATGGCCCTGATCGTAACCTAAGTTTCACCCGATCTTCATAGAACTTGAACGTCTATATATATATATATATATATATATATATATATATATATATATATATATATATATACATTTCATTGAAAACGACAGAAAAGGTGCATTTATTTAGTTTTTTATACAATTTCTCATGCGATCTAATATTTTTTTCGAGTAATGTAAATAGTGTACATAATACCTCATCTCATAAATATAGACAGATACTGAAGGGCAGAAACATTGTAATAAATATGGAAACAAAGATGCGGACAATAGTCCGAATAATGTAAATAGTGTACATAATACCTCATCTCATAAGTATAGACAGATACTGAAGGGCCGAAACGTTGTAATAAATATGGCGACAAAGATAAGGACAATAGTCCGGGTAATGTAAATAGTGTACATAATACCTCATCTCATAAATATAGACAGATACTGAAGGGCCGAAACGTTGTAATAAATATGGCGGCAAAGATAAGGACAATAGTCCGAGTAATGTAAATAGTGTACATAATACCTCATCTCATAAATATAGACAGATACTGATAGGAGAAGGAATTTTACAGTGTATTTAAAAAAAAACAACTTAGTCGAAAGTATGACCTACGAAGTAGTTATATTATAATCAAGCAATAAATGTGACAGAGAAATCCGAAGTAATAATGGGAGATAATTGAACAACTTAAGCAAAGTATCAAGAAACAAGTACATTTCGTTAACAACAAAGAAAATATTGTAGAACATAGAGTACCATATATGTTTATTACATAATTGATATACAAGAGCTAAAATTATCTAAAATTTGAATATTACATCTCTAGGTGTTCACCACCACGAGGAGAACATGCACGATCTTACTCTCTCATTTCAAACGTAGTTGGCATTGCCTGTCCCATGGAAGTTTGTAACAGCGCGCAGTATCACCTTTCGGGATGGTGCCTGTCGATTTCAAATGCTGTTGGAATTTCCTTTTGGCTGCAACGATGGATCTTTGGCTGTTGAAGTATGCTACGTATGCAATTTCATTTGAGTTACACGACATTATGAGGGTCTACCATCAAAAAAAAGTATTAAATACCTGTTGAAAATCTTAGATAATATATTGAGCTCTTGTATATCAGCTATGTAATAAATATATTTGGTACTCTATGTCATTTTCATAATCTAAGATACTTGCATTTAAAATGTGTCCCATCACATTATGAGGTGTGTGTGTGTGTGTGTGTGTGTGTGTGTGTAACGAATACGGCCGAATTTTCGACGGATTTGCACAAAATTTACAACAAAAAAAAAAGACCGACTTTGTTTACCTGTAGTGGAAATAAAAATCTGGCCAGATAATATATGCAGGAAGATTCTATCGGGCAGCTCTTGACCCGAATATCATGCTAGCATGCAAAAAAATCGATATGCATTCGTCACAAGTGGTTTACTCTATGTCAATTTTTCATAAACCTAACAGTAATCCCTTTTATGTACGCCCCATCAAATAATCCTCCATCCATAATTAAACACATGCCCTCATTTAAAATGTTCTGTCCGAAAAAATATTCTATAAACAGTAATGGGACAAACCCTATTTATATAAAGAATAATATAAAAACGAGAGAAAAAACAGAAAAAGAAAAATATTTGGTATAAAAAAACTCTAAAAAAACGTTAATCTTTTATAAAAAACTCTAAAATTAAGTTATAGCTGTACTGAAAATCTAGAAAGAAGTATAAAACTCACAATAATAAAATCCTGAAAATCACGCAAGCCAAAATCAACTAAATAAAGATCCTAAATCAAAATTAGGCAAAAATAATGAAAATTATGTAAGTGTAGAAGCTCTGAAAAATTGCACTGTGAATAATAAATTCCGCATAGAATTTGTGGTATACCAATGCACAATCTCATC